ATCATATAAGCATGCCACGTGTCCATCCTACTGTAAACGAGAAAAGTACATGCACCGACACGCGGGCACGCAGCGTTAGCCTAATGAGCAGTGTCGATTGCCGTCAACCGAGGGATCGGCTGCCCATCACTCTGTCAGATCATATCCCTATTCATAAATCCTCATCGTGTAATCCAATCTTGCAGCACCATGAGGAGGGGAGGAGACAAGCCAAATAGGGAAACTATCACTAAAAACACACACGTAGCAGAGCCCTGGTACCCCCACTGCACCGCCTTGCCGCGAATCCTAGTGTTTTTACCACAGGGATATGACCCCCCGGGTAGTTTAGCAAAAAATCGAAATCATATAGGCATGCCACATGGCCACCCCGATATAACCCCCCTTTCCCGGGATCAAGTTACCCCATGCTGACGGTCTTGTAAGTCTTGTAGGCTTTTTTAGCAATACGTCGAGAATTTACTATTTAGTAGTTACTATTTAGGTATCTTCACCCCTTTCCAGGATTCACGTCACCAGGCTTTCTATTAGATCCGTAATATTCCGTATACCTGCCCGATAGTTTGCGTCCTCTCGACGAAGAAGAAAGACCTTCTTATCTGGAGGAAGGCTCTTGTTCGTCTGCCAAAACTGACTGACCCTCTTCGCTGCCTGTAAGGGTTGGTTTCTCTCCTCGGCTACTGTAGCAACCTAAGTTGTTTGCATCCCGTGGTTACGTATACCTGGTTTATACCTGTGGCTGAACAGCGGTCACCGTACAGCCCTACCGTCTTCACGCGAATAGAACGCCCGGTCATTATGGCTGTGCATCTGAGCGTGCATTCTGGTCGGTTGAAGAGACCGTGCACTTCTATTCTGTGCGTGTGTTTCAATTTTCAAACGATAAACCGCAGCAACCCCGTGTGTGTGCGTGTGTTTCAATTTTCAAACAATAAACCACAGCAACCCCTTCTCCCACATGAATGCATAGAAAATCATAACTGAGACATTCTTTCTTCTGCCATTTCTCTTCCCCTCCGAGGGAAGGGGAGAAAAAAGAGACTACCGGCACGGGTGGGGAAGCATCCCGGTGATGATTGTGCGTTGAGCGGTATTTAGGCCTGTAAAGTTTAAACCCATCCCTATCCCCAGAAAGTCCCAGTCAACGCCTGCAGGCAGGGATAAGGTCCTGACCTAGCCCATCTGGCTGAGCAGAACATGCGTCCAAACCTTCATAAACAAACGCGAGTTAAAATCCTGCTAGGATCACATGGAGGATATAATAAGGCTAGAAAATACCCCCTTGTTTTTTGGGCCTTGTATATATATAAAAAAAGAGACACATGATGACCCACAACATCAATCTAACGACCCACACAAAAGGGCAGCCTCCAGGTAATCAAGTGGCCCTTTTTTTTTTAAGAAAAACAGGGCCTTATGGTCCTGGCTCCTATTCTGGGGAGCGTCAGTCCGGTTCCTATTCCACCGGCAAGTCAGAGTATAGTAGTATACATTAATTTGACAATCACACACGCTTCCTTCCGTTTGGCCGAAGGACCCCTGAACAGCATTGATTGCTCCACCTTGGCGGAGGATTGACTGTCAGCTTGCCATGTCCGTCTCTTCCCTCTCAGATCTGGGGGCCAGATCTGCCAAATAGTGCAATGCCACCTAGAAAGAGTTCATCCTTTGTCCCTGCTGGCCTGTGTCCTCCCCACTCATCTGCCCTGTCCGTGAGGCGTGATATCCCCTGTCCCACTTTATCTGTCCCCCTTTTTTTGAAACATCGCTAAAGCCCTAAACCCTAAACCCTCCGTCTGTGTACTCCTACTCGAACATCCCTTTGACTCAGCCATTTCCCCTTGTTCTTGGTCTTTTGGTGCCATCCGTCCTTTTCCATGCTATCCATCCCTAGCTGTAGTGTTTTAGCCTTGTCGAATTCCCGTGAACGTCTGGTCCGGATGTGTTTTGCCCGTCCGCAGTTATCTGTTGTCGATAGCCTCTTCCTGAGTTTGAAATGTGTCAGCCGTTCCAGCAATTGCAGCCATCTCATGTTCAAGAAGTGATTGATCCAACCGCCGTTAACTGTTGTTGTAAGCTCCTCTCTGGCACTGAGTTGTGCCATTCTTTTCCTGCAGATACGGTCCTCTCGTGTCTCTCCAATCTTGCTGTTTAACAACCAATTCTTTTTTTCTTTTTTCTTTTTTCTTTTTAAAAAAAAAAAACAGGTCCTTATGGTCCTGGCTCCATATCCATTCTGGGGAGCGTCAGTCCGGTTCCTTTCCACCGGCAAGTCGAGAATGAAATACATGGTGAACACTCACACGCTTCCTTCCGTCTGGCCGAAGGAACCCTGACCAGCATTGATTACTCCCTGTAAGGAGGATTGACTGTCAGCTTGCCCTACCTCTTTTCCTCTCGGAGACTACATTGTCTCAGCCAGATACTACGTATAAAGCAAGAAAAGGGGAGGGTTGTCTAGACTGTTGAGATTATAATCTCAGTTTTGCTCTTCACTGGGCCCCTGTTCTTGTATTGTGCCACTTATTCCACACCATTCTGTTGTCCACCACAGTGGCGATCTTTCCCTGTAGAAGCCAGTCTCTTATGAATTTTTGTCTCTTTGTGGCTATCCTTTCTGGTCTGCCTTTCGTCTTCATGGTTATTTCTCGCCATCTGGATCGAATCTCTGTTTCCGCCATTCTCGGCAGTGGGGCCCACATTTCTTCTCTTGGCACCTCAGTTCCTTCGATCGTCTTGGAGCATCTCCTCTTCCAGATTACCCATAGCGCCAGCTTTCTGAGTAGGTGGAACCACACTTCCTTGCCACCTTTGAGCTTGTTGGTATCGTTAGATAGGTGCAGGATGTTCAGGGGGGTTGTGGCCGGGGGAGGTGATGAGAAGAGAAAGGTCCATAGGACTCGCACTTTGTTCCAGATCCATGTTGCTTCCGTGCAGTATAAGAGGCAGTGTGGTGTGTCTTCCACGGCGTTGTCTGTGCACAGTCTGCATATATCGCAGCTGTCGGGGTCTGTGTGCTTTCTTCTCTTGTGGAGCCACTGGTTGGTTGGCAGAGAGGCGTGTGCTAAGAGCCATTGCATGCTTCGAATCCTAGCCGGTCAAATGGTTAGTAATTTTGTCCACGGGGTGGAAATGGGGGCCGAGGGGTCCAGATTCGGTGCATCCCTCCATTTACTTTTGAGTCTGGGATCTGGGTCTGTGGTCCGTAGGTGTCCTCCTTGCGCAGGGGCCATGCTAATCTTCTCTGTAGCGTTCCAATTTTAAAGGATGTCCCAAAGGACAGTGGCCCTTTTAATTAACTTTTTGAGCAATATAAAAATTATAAATAAATTTTAATAAATACTAAATAGTAAATACTTAATGTGTAGAATACTCAGCCCCCAGGCAAGTGCCACAACCCCAAATTTCCATTGGATGCAAAAAAAGCATTACAAGATTACACACAGCATCATTGCAGGATTTCAAAGAAGCTGCTGTTAACGGCTATTTCAGTGCCATTGCAGTTCTCCATCTTCACACAAAGAAGGAAAATAAGTGAGGAAATAATCTCCTGAGGAATGTACGCGAAGAAAGCAGAATGTGAGGCAACCTACAAAAAGAATAATGACAGCCGCTAGTGCCGGCGGAAAGACGAGACGCAGTCTGTCCATTGGATGCTTATGATGTATACCATGAAGAATGTAATGCACAGTGTTCATCCTGCAAAAAAAATAACAACAAGAAGCATTCAAAACAGATATCACTGCCACTATCTTTTGATGACAAGACCTTCTGCAGTGTACAGACAGCTCACCGAAAGCCAACCCATGCTGGAAAGAATGGCCAGCTATGACAAGAGCAGCAGCAGCTAAGAAGCAAGAAGGAGAAGGAAGGAGAAGAAGATTTTATTTTGCTTCTTCTCCTTCTCCTTCTTCTTCTTCTTCTTCTTCTTCCCTACTTCCACTTCGCCTGTGCATGGTTACAGTGGGAAGGTTCTTCTATGATTGGATCCCCCCTCGGCTGGTGTGAGATCTGATCTGAGCCAGATTGTCAATTGGCTGCATAGTCAGGTCATGTTCTACCGGATTCCGGTCTTCTCCAGTGTCACACTTCATCTCTTCCTCGTATTAATGATCTCTTTGCACTTGGGATTGCCTCGGATAAAAGCCAGGACTGCAGCGGTTATCAGTGTCCCCAAGCAGTGTCAAAACATTGTCATGTTTTTGTGCCCTCTCACAGTCGTTTCTTTCGGCTCAAACATCGAAGGGACTACCGTCTTCATCCGAATAGAACGCCCGGTAATTATCGCTGCATCTGGACTGAAAAATGTCCCAAATACAGCTATAATGACCGGGCGATCTATTCGGGTGAAGACGGTAGGCAGTGAAGCTAACAAGAGAAGATAACAACGCATATTCAGCGTGTCATAAACCACCGCGCCTTCTTCATACACAGTTCGGCATTCGACAATGATCGTCTTCAAAATTGAAAACTCAAATGTTCAGCTCCTCTTTGGGACAATCACAACCTGCCAAGTGGTTGTTGGTACACAGGCGCTCGAGATGCGTGTTAGAGTTTTCCTGTTTGTTTTGTCGTTTGCTAAACACTGTTCTCCACAAAAGGAGGGTACCTCTGAAACTCTGTTTGCACATGCATTATTATGTTCTCTGTACACAACTCCACAAAAACTGCATGACTGTGTTGTGAGTATGTTTTGCCAGACTTTCACCAACTCATCAGCAGATTGTTTGAATGTATGTGTGTGTCGTAAATTATCACCACAACCACCCCTTTTCCACCCAGATGAGTATAGCATATCCAAAATTGCAGTTTTCCCTCTCTAGCAGACAATGAAGATGACCAAATCCAGCACCGAAACAGTTTTACCTCCACAGCAAACAACATGACGCACAATAAAATTGAATCAATCCTATTAAATCCATTATATTTTTGCCTTTTCCACGTGCAATCCTTTCTTCGCTCTCTTAACATTGGGGTATATAGTAGATACCCCTTTTCTTTCTTTTTGCAGCTCTTTTTTTTACTGTGCCTCTAACATACAAGGCTTGCCACGTTGATTGCGTGTATGTGTGTGTTTGTGTGTGTTTGTGTGTGTTTGTGTGTTTGTGTGTTTGTGTGTGTTTGTGTGTGTTTGTGTGCGCGCGGGTTGTTGTGGACTGTCAGCACAACAACCCTTTTTCCACCCAGGTAAGGAACACTAACATGAGCAGGTCCCACAACTGAAACAGCTTTACCTCTATATAGCAGACAACATGAAGCACACTCCGCCATTTATTTTGTGTTTCCCTTGTCCAGCCCTTTTGTCGCTTTCCTAACTTCGGCTTTCTTTTTTTGGGTTCTCTCCTTTGTTTTTTTTCTTGCAGCTTCGCCGTAACTGTACCTCTCACGTACAATGCTCACTACGTTGATTGTGGTTGAGCGCGAGCTGCCCACATCCCTATGTGCCATACAGTCCACATGCACGCTATGAAAAGGAGGCAGCGTACAGGGGAAGGTGTACTCCCCTTTAATTTTTCAGCACACCTTCAGCTTCTCTTCATGATGCGCATTCGTAAGCATGTCAACAGAGGGACAAAGAATAGAACAGAGGAAAGACAGACTTGACAGGGTTCTGGTACTCTCGACAAAGACTAGAACAGAGGAAAGACAGACTTGACAGGGGGTTCTAGTACTCTCTACAAAGAATAGAACACAGGATTGACAGGGTTCTAGTACTCACCTCCAGAGCAGACCACTATGGAAAGTCGGTGTTAGGGTTTGCAGGGAAACTTGACTCGAGGACCAGGTGTTGTTGCCTATGGTGAGTGTCCACCCTGCAGAACGGACAGGACCGGGCTCAGGTGTGGACTACCGACGCACCAGATCCAATTCTCGCAGATGCAGTTGCTGCAGGGAATGGCATGGCGTACACAGATGTCACAGGCCACGTGGCTCCGCCGAATGCAATTGTGTATAGGAATTGGCATTCCAGGCTTCCAGCGCCTTTCTAAGAATAGGACATGCCATGGAATTGGCGTTCCAGCGCCTTACTAAGAATAGGACATGCCATGTCAGGGTGCCGTACATGAGTACAGAACGTTGACTGTCATCATCATAGGTATGAAGACAGAGACTTGCATGGGCTATGGCATGGTGCCGCACATGAGTACGGAAACATTGACTGTCATCATCATAGGTATAAAGACAGAGACTTGCATGGGCTATGCCTTCATAACCCTTAACGACACAAAGCATGACAACACGTATACGTGTTTCAGCCTTTCAGACAGTCACCACAACCACCCCTCTTTCCTTTTGTCCTCCCCCTTTTATTTGACTACTAGATGAGTGGATCCAAGATTGAAACAGCCTAATCTTTCAGTCTTCTATCGAGTTACATATATGATATTATAGATGCAATGTTTTGACGGAACGTCCGTTTCATTGTTATATTCAGAGAGGTGCGAACCTTGGAATGCGTACACACCCATTTGCTTTTCAGCACACATGCAAATTCTATTTAATCTGTTCTCTTAAACCCACCAGTTCAGGTGAGGCTACGTCGGCATCTTCTTACCAGTGTACAAGGCCCATGAGGGGAACCTGGGCATTCAAAATAAATTTCAAAAAAAATCCAAAGTACCCCAACTTTGGAGATTCTTAGTTCTCGTTTCCGACGACAAAAAAGTCCCAAGAAAAATCAGGGATGTTGCCCAGGTGATTCCACATCAGCCTCGTCAGGCAAAAAAAAAAAAAAAAAAAAAAAAGAATACAAATGATTCAGGCCATGCGAACGCAGTTGCGCCAAACCAAGTGGATACTCCAATCGAAGTTGTTGTGACCCAGTAGGAGTGACGTTTCAGGCTGCGCGGGACCGGACGGTCAGATCATACAAACAGGCTCCGCTGAACCGGTGGTTTTACTGATGCTCATTTGCATGTGTTTAGTAGTTGCTGCACAAGGGGAGGGAGGAAGAAGAAGGGGAAGGGACGTGAGATGGAGGGAGGGAGAAACAGAACAGGGGAACGCCGGATCTCATAGGGTGCACTATACTAAGACACGGCCGACTGCTATGGAATGGCACAAGAGGCCAAACTGGGGCGAGGAGCAGGCGTTGCCGCCGATGGTTTAGTGGCAAATCCTGCAGACCGTACAGGAATCGTTTAGGTATGGACTGTGGAAGGCTGGACGCACCACATCCAATTCTAGCAGCCGCAGTTGTCACATCAGATGATGACGGTGCGGCATATAGACAGATGTTACAGTCAACATCGCTCCCACGACCACCACAATTCTATAATCACTGTCGTTTCAGCCCCCCTGTCTACAACTCCCTTCTTCCCCCGGATACAATGTACACTCATTATAACTGTATTTAGACTGAAAGATACCCCAATACAGCTATAATGCTGGACCGTTGTACTCGGGGGACAAAGGTAGGATATACCATCTCAGGGTGTCACACGTGTGTTTTAGACAGTCAGCACAACCACCCCTTTGGCCCTTATGGTCCTGGCTCCATTTCCATTCTGGAAAGCATCAGTCCGGTTCCTATTCCACCGGCAAGTCAGAAAGAAACAGGATACATCATAAGTGCTCACCCACGCTTCCTTCCGTCCGGCCGAAGGACCCTTGACCAGCATTGATTGCTCCCAACCTCGTGGAGGATTGACTGTCAGCTTGCCCTGCTTCATCCTTTCCTCACAGGTCTACTGCGAAAATCTGTCGTATAAAACATGACTAGCGAGAAAGGTCCTAGAAGCTGCCAAAGCTGCCAATTTTGTCTAAACTGTAAAAACCCCTTATGAGCTACATGAAAACCCCTTTTCCATCCAGATGAGCACATCCAAAATCGAAACAGCCTTACCTTACAGTCTTCTAAATGATGGCACTGTTTCAACAATTACCATATTTTGATGACACGGGCGTCGGGCGCGTGATTGTTGTATTCTGCGAGGAGCAAGGACCACCACGTCACCACCACGTCTGTGTACTCTCAAGCATGGAATGTGTACACAGCCATTCGCTTTTCAGTAAACCTGCAACTTATATCTTGTCATTCTCTGAGTGTTGCTAATTCAAATGCTTTCTGTGTATGGACCTCAGAGACTATACGTGAAGAGTCCAAACAAAACACAGAGAAGTTCTGCTCAAGGGGAGGGAGAAGGGGAATGTGAGGGGGAGGAGGAGGCGGTTTTTTTTTGGAAGGGGGGAGGGGGGGGGGAAGAGAGGAGGAGGGTGGAAGGAGGAGAAAAACAGGGGAAAGAGGAACCTCATAGGGTCCTCAATACTAACTGGCAGAGGAGACTGACTGCTAGAGACTCGCACAAGAGGAGAGGCCACTCAGTCGTTGGGTTGCAGAAAGAAAGGAGAAAGGAGTTCGAGGAGTAGGCGATGCCTGCGGTTAAGTGGCCATCACTGCAGAGACCGGACAGGGCCAGTTCGTGTTTGCACTGTGGAAGCATCGCATCCAATTCTCACAGCTGCAGTTAATGCATTGAATGGCGCACTGTAGACATATGTCATGGGGAACGTGGATCCCACATGCTCGGGAAACAGAGGCACGGCAACCGCGATTGTATGGTTGTGTGTGTGTGTGTGTGTGTTAGTGGGAGTGTGTGGGAGAGGAAGGACGTGGCACGAGGGAGAGAGCAAATGAGTGTGTGCTTGCTTAAGCACTTACCAGTACGATGACGTCTTTTGGTGGAAGATGAACCGGTGCAGAGTGTACTCTACTAGCGTCCAAAGGAGAGCCCCACCGACCATTAGCGGCAAGATCTGCGAGGGTTTGATTCCATCCTGAATGGCTCGTAGCTCAGCCCATGCAACAACAGGAAGCCACACAAGCGGAATGACCCACCAGTACGTCCGAGAGAAGAACTGTTTGGCCACACAAAAACGGTAAGAACCACCATTTCAACCACAGCACCGTGTGTACAGGGCGTGTTCATACTAAATACTAAATAGGAAATTCACATTTACACGTTTTATGCATGTACAGTCAGAGGCCTAATGACTGGTTAAGCCGCTGCTAAGATGTATGGTTAGGTACCTTATACAATTTCAGATATGGTGAACAGTACGAACAATGTAACAAAACAAAAGAAATGGCAGAGTGGTGGAAAGTAGATTCTTCATGTCCCCCTTTTGCCCCCTTTTGCCCCATTTCCCCGCTTCCCCCTCCTCTCTCTCTCTCTCTCTCTCTCTCTCTCTCTCTCTCTCTCTCTCTCTCTCTCTCTCTCTCTCTCTCTCTCTCTCTCAGAACCGTTCTTCTGCTGAAACCCCCACAAACACGTGCACCCTCACTCTCCCATGTGCATTGCCAGAATGGGCACAAACTAGTTAGCAAAATGATTTCCTAGCACCCAATAAGAAAAGCAGAGTGAAAAAGGCGGGCAGGGGGGGGGACGAGGGAAAAGAGAGGGGGATAGAAGAAGGGGAGGAGAGAGAAAGAGACAATCAGGACTGGCCCAGCTTAAACCACCAGTACTTCTGAGGCACTTTTCCCCAGGGATGGAAACGCACTATGCGCCCAAAAAAAACGGACTGGCGCAGGCCTGCTTTTGGCTGGAGTCGCCAGCCATTTTGCTCTGGCAGTCGAGCCCTGAAAGCTGCGGCGGCATGCCAGCCGCAACTTCGAAAAAAAATAAATGGCTGGGAAACGTACTGGTGGTATAACTTCATTAATAGACCAAAGAGGTGTTAATTACAAAGAAGGCCTCCCCTGTTTGGCAACGAACAGGGAGCCATTTACACCAAAGAAAGATTGAAAGAAAAGAGGTATATACTATATAGAAGATTGGGGACAAAAAAAAGAAAAACAAAGTAGAAATCGGACCGCAGACACTGCGCCCCTTTGCTTTTCTTCAAGTCTTGGTAGTTGCTGTAATAATGCAATCACATGGACGTCATTTAACAGAGAGAGGCACATAGACACTAAGAGTCGGTTATCTCATCAAAGACCCATAATAAAAAAGAGCGACATTTAACACCAGGAGAGCAAGAAAGCCAGCTTGAATGAGCGTGTCTGTTTCTCTTCCCCCTCAAACATCGGTCGTTTCTCTGAAAAATATAAGGGTAAACGTACAAGCAAACATCATCGGTAATTCATACCGTGAACATCAGAGGGAGACTTTTGAATTGGTGCTATCAATTCCTGTTGGGTATTGGACTTCCACTGTGCATATCTCTGTCTGGTATGGTGTGAATCACTCTCGAAATCTGCTTCGTCATTGTGTCTTGTGCATGGGACATGTTGATGCTGTCCTGGATTGCGATCTCAAGCAGTCACAAAGTAGCTATGTGAAAATCTCTTCGTTTTCATGTGACAATAGCTTTGGATAAAAAGTCGTTAAAAATGGCAGGCAGCTTTTCAGAAGAAAAAAGGAAAGAAAATGACACTAACTAAGACAAAAAAAGCTGACTTTAAATGCAAAGAAAACGTCGCAGAATCGAATGAGTGAATAAAAAAACATCACCATGTTGGCACATGCGTTATTTATATATATAATTAACTAAATAGTAATAGTAAAACTAATCAGAAAGGCTAGCAATATACCTCACAGAAGCCGTTTTCAAATAGACGTGGACCCTCTTTTGTCAGGATCGGTTTATGCAGCCATTCCTCGTACCGCTCCTTCAAATGACCCACCTGTTTCATGTTCCAGAGCCGACTCAGAGTCAAATCTCTCTCTCTCTCTCTCTCTCTCTCTCTCTCTCTCTCTCTCTCTCTCTCTCTCWCWCACACACACACACACACACACACACACACACACATTGACACATACACATGCGCACACATTCACACGTACATATGCACACATGAATGCACACCCCCCTTGTCGCCAACACAGACATTTACGCATACACACGCCTTGAGGTGATAAAATAAAAAACTCAAAAAATGAAGTCCTACATGTGCACACATTCACACATATATGCACATATGCATGCACACCCCCCTTGCCCCCAACACACACACACACACGCATTTGCTCATAGTAGCATACACATGTGCACACATGTGCACACATTCACACGTACACATGCACACATGGATGCACACCCCCCTTGCCCCCAACACACACACACAAAAGACAATTTAATGTAATTCACTGTGTTCCTTTGATGCGCAAGCACTAAATTGCGATCGCATAGAGATTCATGAAGTATCTGCAAATCCACCGTTAATAGATTTGAACTGTCTGAAAACAGATAGGGGACAAGGAGAGCATTCTATGAAGATTGGCTGGCTGACATAAACGATAAATCAGTATAAGAAAATAAAATATAATTGCAGTCCCAGCCGGCCAGGTCCATCCAGGATGGCCCACGTGAGTCCCCAGCATTACGAGGTGTGGTCAGATATGTTTAGGAGAGTGCCAGTAGAAGAATCCCCAACGCGAAACCGTAGCCAAGTGATAACCTCACCTCAAAATAGTAAAATACGCTTTGTTCTTTGACGTAAGTTTTCACTTCTGGCCAGATCACCTGTTTGCAACTTCGCCCGAACAGTATTAGCGCCTACTCACATTACGACTTATTCTACCACGCTGTGGACGGGATTTCGGTCGGATTCATCCAGGTCTGTCGACAATTGCAGTCACATACATTTAGGAAAGTGCTAGTGTGAGTATGCCGCCCTTAGGCGTGGATGATACTTTCCGCGGGATACGTTGTGAACCACGCAGTCAATTTCGTTCGACCGGAGGGGAAAGGGCGAGATGTCTGCCCCTTAAGCCTCTATTAAGATCGGAACGAAGCAGAGAAGATCTGCATGGCCACTGTGCATTCTAGGATATCCACATGCACAATCCATACATGGCCAAAAATAGGAGTTCAAAAAGTTGACCTCAAAAACTTGACCCAGTCCAAAAAAGTTGAAAAACACATAAAGAAACTCTAATATTTGGTTACTTGTGGCAAATTGTTTACGTTTTTTAGCACATGCTCACACTAGCTCTATCTAAAATGTATGTATATGACCGCACTTACGCCAGAACCTGGATGCATCTGACCGCAATTGCATCCATAAATAAGTAAAAAAAGTCCCGGCGGGCCTGGAACTGCCTGGCGGGCCTGAAACTGCCTGGGAATCTTATTTGTTTTCTTTGACTGTGCTGTGTGAACGCATTTGTCGAGAACGTGCAGACTCTGCCCTTTCGTTAAAAACTTCTAGGTCTAGTGGGGCTGGGGTGGGGTGGGTAGGGGGGCTGGGGGTGACGAAAGGGATTGTAATGGGTTCTTTTTTTTCTCCTGAAAAATAAAGAGGTACTTCGAGATTACCTCAGCCAAAAAGTGTTTGACACTGTCATTTTACACAACGTATGTCTGTTCCTTCCCCGAGGCCCCGCCCATCCCCGGCCCCCCGTGCCAACAACCACCACGACCATGCCCCCGATCCCTGAACTTCAAACAATTTCATTTCTGAGCCCGACGCATGCACTGACTGCCACACAGCACCCAGACAAGGGTTTGGGAGGGACTTTCGCAAAAAAACTTCGCACCCAAACAATTTGGAGGGATACTTTAGCAAAAGACTTTGCACCTCACAAACAAGGGTTACAATCTTTGCAGTGTTGCACCCAAACAATTTGGAGGATACTTTTGCAAAAGACTTCGCACCTCACAAACAAGGGTCATAATCTTTGCACCCAATTAGGAGGAGGATACTTTTGCAAAAGACTTCGCACCTCACAAACAAGGGTCATAATCTTTGCACCCAAGCAATTTGGAGGAGGATACTTTTGCAAAAGATGTCGCAGTGTTCACACCTCACAAACAAGCCGTACAACTTACCCAGACAATTTGGAGGGTACTTTTGTGAAACACTTTGCACCCTCATGAACAAGGTTACCTCACAAACAAGGGTCATAATCTTTGCACCCAAACAATTTGGAGGACACTTTTGCAAAAGACTTCCCACCTCACAAACAAGGGTTACAACTTACAACTTACCCAGACAATTTGGAGGATACTTTTGCAAAACACTTTGCACCCTCATGAACAAGGGTTACAACTCACAGGGCTTTCCAGCCCATCCAAAGTCTACATAATTGATTTAATAAGGAGAAAAAAAAGAAACAAAAAGAAATTCCACACAAAGTCAAGCCATAGCTGGTAGGAAAAAGAACAAAGGTGCAGCATCTACCCAGTTCTGCCTGAACAAAACCTGTTTTCATTACTCCAACTTTTCAGGAGCCGCGTTCTTCCCAATGCTGCCTGGTACTTGGTTCTACCACAGTTCTACCTGGATCTGCCTGACACGACCCCCTGCGTAGGCCCCACAAGTTATGTACGCGAAAACCCCAAGTTAGCTTGTAGGGTTTTAGCAAACATAGTTAGTGCTTGAACCCTACAAGCTATAGCACGCTATGGTCGTGCCAGATACAGAGGTACCAACATAGTTGTGGCTGAACCAAACAAAGACTTGAAAAATCCCCAAGCTTTCACAAATCCCTCCCTGCCTGGTTTCAGCAAAGGCCATTGAATTTCATAAACATTAGCACTCAGACTTCACAACCTACTGTCTTCACCCAAATAGAGCGCCCGGTCATTATAGCTGTATTTGACACAACTTTCGGTCCAGATGCAGCGATTATGACCGGGCGTTCTATTCGGGCGAAGACGGTCGGCTACTTGGCTCGCCCGGCTGTGTGCAGCACGGCCGTGCAAACCGAGCAAGTCACGCGGGGGTCCCCTGCAGGCAAAAATCAGCCCTTGTTTTCTTTTTCTTTTTTTTGGGGGGGGGAGGTGAGGATTTTCCATGCATGCGCAGAGCCCAGATCCGGGCTCCTCTCTCTTTTCACGTCTTGGCTGTCAAGGTCGGGGGGGAAGGGGGTATAAATTGGTTCTTAAGGGGCTGAAGGGGTTTAAATTGGTTCTTAAGGGGCTGAAGGGGTTTACACTTTAAAG